AATGTATGATAAAAATTTTATTTTTAAAAAAATTACAAAATAAGAAAAAAAAATTTAACAACTTCCAATAAATTTGAGAAGTTTGTCCTCCATTGGGTTTAATCTTAACACGTACTAAAATCTCCCTATTTTACGCTACAACACTATTTAAAATATATATATATATATATATAAAAAATCAATAACTTTCATCAAATATATATTCATACATAATCTAATTTTTCTAGGAAGATTCAAATAATTGGATAAACCCCTTCTGCTTCTCTAATTTCGCTTTTAAACTTTTAACGATAAGAATAAATATGAGACTTTTAAATCGATTCATGAGACTATATGCAAAAAGTAACGTTATAAATCGATTCAAACTATAACATACGATAAAATCGAACAATTAGAAAAATTACCAATTTGTAGTTCCAATTTATTGATGAAATCAGAAAGAAGATGTTGATGCACTTTCATAGCAAGAAGAACAACACTTCCAGAAACTGCAAAAACAGCCATAAATGCACTTCCCAATGAATTCTCCATTTTCCTCTTCCAAAAAATAAAAATAAAAAATTATGCAATTTTAAATATTTTGAGGGGAAAAAATTAAAGGAAATTTTCTTGAAAAATTATAAATAAAAACATTTTACTATTGATGATAATATGTAAGAAATTCATGGAATTATGATATAGAAGAATGGAACAGTTAAGTTGTTATATTTAAAGGGAAAAAAAATTAATTGGAAATGGGAAAATGAATTGTCAACTGTTTTTATTTTTTATTTTTAGATTTTTCTAAATTTATTCTGCAGTTTCTATCGAGTAACATCAGCACATATATATATATATATGTGGCATTTGACTTTTTGTTAACACCAAACAATAAAATAGACATTTTATGGATTTTGAATCTATTTTTATCACCTAAAATTTAGTTTTATCCTAGAAAGATACATCCAAATATATTTATATATACAAATATTTTTTTTTTAGAGGGTCATATTCATTTTTTACTTTTTTCTTTTTTATATTAAAAAAAGTCATGAAAATATTTTCATCTGGTATTTTAGATTAAGGGTGTATTGATACAAAGAGAAAATATCTTTTAGCAAAACAAATGAGTTTTTTAATTTATTTTCTTTTGTTTGGTGTGTATGTATAAAAATATTATCTTAAAATTATTTTAAGATATTTATTTTTCACGAATATATATTCAAATTTTAATATTTTTTCCAAGAGGGTAAAATTATCTAAACATAAGAAAATAATTTAATCAAAGATTGTTTGGTACAAGTAGAAAAGATCAAAGTTGGTGTGGCAACTAATTATGGGAATATTATACAATATTAATTACACTTATTTGGAGAATGGAATCCTTTAATTAAATATTAATCCATATTACTAGCCTAGGTACTAATTATTATTATTATTATTATTATTTCATATGTTAGTATTTTTATATTCAATTTATTTAAATTAGAAAGTCTAACATATTCCTCCTTTGTTCTAGTAATATATGGTTGCACGTTTATAGTACTTGTAATAGTTTATAATATTTAAAATTACTCTTAATTAATCCATCGGATTATGCCATCATCGAGTTAAATAAAAGTATACGTATTATGTAAAGTTATATTATATTTATCACTTATTTTTCTTTTGTTTTAATGTGAAATACGTCTAAAATATTCATAGTAATTATTATTAATATGTTAGTCCTTTCTGTTCGAATCGCTCTCATCGACTTGCCCTCTAGGTCCTTTTTGTTTTTATTTTAAAGTCTTATTTTAGGGAAACGAGGGAAGCAACTCATTTTTCTTTCTCAATTAATTGAAATTAATCATTACTTATTATTATAAAGATGGGTATCACAATCTACTCAGAGTTGTGACGAGATGATTGAAATATTTTATTTTGAATAAGTAATTTTGGGTTCGATGAGATTGCCCTCAACCAATTGTGTAACTTTCCCTTCTAAAATATACCTATAACTCGTGGTGGATAATTACTTTCTATTACTCATATTAATTTTTACTCAATTAATTTCATTTTATATGATTCATTTTTCTTTTTAGTTACTTTAAAATGTTTATTTCATCCTTAATGAAATGATTTATAGTTAAACAAATATTATTCACTTATTTTAGATCACAAGTTATAAAAAAAAATTTTAAACAAAAAAATAATTTAAATTAATGTCAAGTTAAACTATGTCATGCAAAATTCAGACAAAAAATAATTCTCTTTTGTTTTTTCAGTTTGTTAGTGTCAATGAAGTTTATTTATAAATTACGCAAAAAGTATTGTAAGTCGGAATAATTGACAATTCAAAATATTTAAAAGATTTATAAAAAAATTTCAATCAAAGATAAGCTTATTTAAATTTTAAAATTCAAAATGTGTCACATAAATTGAAAAAATGAAGGACGTACCTTATCATAATTAAGATGAATTTTCTTTAATTACATTAGTTCGATGTTGTACCTATATCTAACCTCAAACTTTTGTTAACCAAAATTTAAATTTTAGTTCACGAAGTTATGTCCCTAATATAAATTATAGAAAATAGACAAGTATACATTTGAACTACTATATATGACATACAGATATCCTTCGTCATATTTTTGAGACATTGTTGCTGATATTGTCCAAAAATTAGAGCTTATATGTCTTTCACTCTAACGAAAGACGCATGACACAATCTTTATCATCGATCCGAGTTCGAATTTTGGTGGATGAAATTATAACACGTATATATCTGTTCGTATAAAGAATACATATATGCTTTAGTTATTTGAATGGGATAGGCATTAATATCTCAAACGTATAACGAAATATATCTACGGATAATTTACGATAATTTAGAGATAGATTTATCCTTTTTTCCTTTTAATTATAATATTGGATATTAGGTATTGTGTAATCTCCAAATTATACACTTGTCTTGTACTTACTCTATTAAACTCCCTATCACGTACCATTGTCCCCTAACCTCTAGGGTCCCCCAACCACTATTTTCTATTAAAAACAAAATTACGCTCCCCTCGAAAAATAAGAGATCGGAATATATCGAGTTATCATATTAAAATTAAAATTTTTACTAATACAAATTTAATATAGTATAAGATTTGATATATATAGAGAGAGAATATTATAATTTTGATTAAACAAAATTAATATTATTATATGATAAGACAAATAGACAATATATGTAGGGGCAGATCTACATAAAGTTCGGCAGATGCTTGAGTATCCATTAACCTTGTCTCGATATATATATATATATATAAGTAACATAGAGCACCCAATGAATAAATGATTTGAATGTTGATTCTTCAGGGGGTGCATAAGCCTCTTTTAGTATTATTGACCCGGATTCGATATGGAGATTAATAGGAATCAGGGGCGTAGCTACCCTTTAGATAGGACACCCTTGGTCAGAAAATTACATTGTATTTATAAGAAAAATAATAATTTAAATGGGTTAAATAAAATATTTTGGACACCTTGAAAAACAATAAAAATTTTCTAGCTTAGTGGTTTCAGTCGTTCAACTCTTACTAAATTCTTTGCAACTTGCCCGGTTCGATTCCAGTTAAATGACTTATTTTTTTCTTTCATTAAAAAATTAAAAGAATTATTTAGTTTAAATTTAATAAGAAAATTCTATTTATTCTATTTATTTATTCCATTAAGCTACTAGAAGTGAAATACTTTATATAAATTCTCTTTTAATATAACTCGTGTGATTCGATTATTTAGTTTTCATTTCTCGTTGTTAGTCATCATAGGTTTGTGTAATGTTGAAGCATAAAAGTGATTTCACTCTAAACTGAAATCTCTCTCTTTTTCTTTGTTTTTTCACTTCCTATCAGATAAACATGAACATTAAAGCTAAATATTATGTAATTTGATATTAAAAAATTTAGGTACAGTTTAATTAAAAAAAGTAATTATTAATGTTATGTAGTTTTTACAAAATTTAAGTACACCCATTCTTTAAATTATTTTTATGAGCTATGAGATTTTTGGACATCTTATATACAATTTCTGCTTACGCCATTGACAGATATTTATATAAAATTAACATAGAACACCCAACAAATAAATAATTTAACTAATTTATTGGATTTTGAATCGATGCACAAAGCTATTTTAGCATTATTGAGTCCGAATTCGAATCTTACGGATACATGCATAGTAGCAGCAACAATATTTACATGATAGTGGCAATAATAAGGCTTGCTATATTATTATATTAGTACTACTATCAGATATATAAAATAGTATTATATAAATACTGCAAATTGCATTATATATGATGTCATTTTGTATCTAACAAAGGATTGGCCAATATTAGCTATTTGGTCATAGATTTTAAGGTTAAAAATTGGATTCTAATTTAAATTTGTGTTGGATCATATATTTTACTTGAAAAAAATAATTAAAATCGTAATTGAAAGTCCCAAAAATTCAAAAAACAAGGTTATGAGAGCTAATTTCTGAAAACTTCAAAAATATTTGAAGAAAATTGTTCTGTCAATAAATTTATGCATGAAGTAAATTTTCAAAATTTATGATTAAACGCTAATTAAGACTTTAGATAATTTTACATGTATAAAATGTTAACATGATAAGTCTTAATTCTTTGTCATAAATGTAGATACAAGTCGAGGTTAAACTAACTATAACTATTGATTTATCATATCGCAAAATACAGAACAAACTTGATCCATAAATAATTAAAAGACAATCCAATTATAAGTTTTATAAGCAAATATTTATAAACGACGTAAAAAGATTATCAGTACCCATTATATAAAAAAAAAAGCTGGTCATACCGCGTTTTAAAATATTTCAACATGTTATAAAGTTATTATATTTATTTAATAAATACAATTTTAAATTACACGTGATATCTATATCGATAAAGATAATCTATATTTCCTAAAATTTATCGAGATACGTATAAATTGACTCGGACATAAAAAAAAATCCCTTTTTCTATTTATTCCCTTTGTTCCCTACTTCCCCGCACCCTTATACGACAAACCTTATTTTTCTCTTTTCCACTATATTTTTACACATTCAAAATCACCATTAATTTATTTTATTGGATACATTAAATCAACAAATTCATCAAAAAAAATTTTATAATTCACATAAAAAAAAATTAATTCTCCAGCTTTTTCGGAGAGGGGTAATTTATTTCCATTTTGAAGATCTAATAAATCTTCTTCCCCCACTCCGAAAATATCATCATCCTTATGAAATCGAATTTTTTCGAAAAAAATTAAAATTAAAAATTTTTTTAAAAAAATTAATTAAAATTAGGGCATGACGAGACCAATAATCATACCTTCGCCTCCGTTACTGTCTCTGGATAAACGGCAGCCGCTATTATCGAGTAACGATTCATCGCGCGGCGTCGTACGCGGTAGCAGCAGCAGCAGCGGCGGTGGGAGTGTTGTTCGGAGATCGCGATTAGCGGAGGTCGCCGGCGGTACGACGGCGGAATGTGCGGCGGTGGCGTGTTGTTGTCCTTGCGGGATAGCGAATTTGTTGGTTCTAGCGGTGTATAAGGTTCCGGCTGGACTTTGTAGAAAGGCTTTGAGGAAAAATCGCCGGGATCGGTTGATGAAAAAGGGGCTTTTGCCGGCGACGGGAAGTGGACATTGTAGCTGTGATGAAATGGAGCTTCATGCTTACCAGATTTCTAGTCCGATTGCGATGGTCGGCGCCGGCGCCGGAAACCTAGCAACCGATAAGGATGCTTTGGAGCTGGAGAAGGAAATGTGGGATAAGTTTTACGGTACTGGGTTCTGGAGGAGCCCATCTCAACGAAGTGAAATGTAACGGTAATTTATACGATTAATTTATAAAATAAGTTAATTCTATATATCAAAAATCAAAATTAGACTTTCAATTTATCATAATAATAATAGAGTGTTAAATAGTCACTCATTATGCTATTATCGAACTAAATTTATGATGAATTTCGGAAAATAAAGTGAAAACGCAACATCCTTTATCCATTACTTCGAAATCTTTCGTAAATTCATATCAATTCCTCTTTGTAGCTCGTAAAATGAATTAATTTCATAAATTCCATAATATTGGTATTTCATCATGCTTGTTTTAGGTAATTTTTTTAATTTATAAATATTATTTATCTTGTAAAATTAATCGAGGTATAATTTGCGATTATTATGATTATAATCAATTGTGTATGTTTGTTGTAATTTTCAGGCTTGGGATGAATTAATGTGTATAGGTGGTTGAATGAAGAAGAGGGAGAAGTTGTTCTATTTTTTTTAAAAAAAAATCTTGTAAACTCTCTTTGTAATTAAAAACTCTTGTATCCACCAAGCAATCCTTGTATTATATTCTTCAATTTCTTTGTCATATTTTCATTTCAAGAATCGAAATCAAGTATATTGTTCAATTCCAATTTTGTTTTGCTTTTTTAACTATTTTGTTCCATGGGGTGTTTGGCTATGTAAATAAACATAGAAAAAATTACTTTACATTAAATTTTCACATTAGAGTTGTGTTTGATTATATCTTTTACGATAAGTATAATTTTTATGGTTAAGCGGATCTTAAATTTTTGATTATACGTGAATCTTTTCGAGGGAAAGAAGTATTGAGTTAATTTTACAAAGTACATAATTTTAAATAGGAATGATCAATAAACTTGAAGAAGATGAGAATGACATTTGTTAAGATTAGTTATACTTAATTCAACTAATTATACCATTGTAAAGGAGTTAGTTAGTTAGTTAGATTTTGTTAGTTAGTTATATGAAGTTAGTTAGGAGTCCATTACATGTATAAATACTAGTCACATGGGTGAAGAACACACAATTTGTATTTTCTCACAAACTCAACAGATTGCTCTCTAAATGCCTGCACTGTTCATCTCTCGTATGCATATTCTGCTCCATTAATGGAGTTCATGCACATCTTCATCTTCATATACAATTTCAACATGGTATCAGAGCCATAGGCATTGATCGGCATTGATCTCTTCTTCATCTTCTGCAGCATTCATCGATTTTTTCACTTTCTTTCACAGAGCAATCTGTTCTTCATCTTCTCATTTTTTTTCTCGATTTCTGCACTTGTATCACGAAAGTTCAGCTCAATTTTCCATCAGCCTTACAATCCCATGGATCAAAATGCAGTTGTTCCTCCAATTCCAAATCAGCAAGTCATCGATGCTAGTCAGCCATTGTATATGTATCCATCAGAAAGTGTTGGATCTGCTATAATTCCAGTGATTTTTGACGGAACTGGTTACAGATCATGGCGACGTGGAGTTCTTCGTGCATTATCTGTGAAAAACAAAGTAGGCTTTGTTAATGGCAAGGTGCAGAAACCAACTGAAACTTCACCTACATTTGCCCAATGGGAACGTTGTGATGATATGGTTACATCATGGATCCTCAATTCTCTATCAAAGGATTTAGCTGATAGTCTGCAATATGTTAATAATGCAAGGGAATTGTGGGAGGAACTACAGGATAGGTATGATCAGACGAATGGTGCGAAACTTTACCAACTTCAACAGGAAATTAATGATCTCGCCCAAGGAAATCTGGACATCACAGGGTACTATTCCATGCTTCGAAGACTCTGGGAAGAGCTTAATACTCTGGATCCTAATACTCAATGTACTTGTTTGTGCAATTGTGGTGGTAAGACCAAAATGCACAAGGCAGAGCAAGATCGAAAGCTTATCCAGTTTCTAATGGGGCTTAACGAGGTCTATACGATCGTCAGAGGGAGTATTCTTATGATGAACCCATTGCCAACTATGGCACAAGCCTTCTCTATTCTAGTCCAAGAAGAGAAGCAACGAGAAGTCAGGCCATCCACTCGCATGAACTTGGATGCTAGCTCTGGAGCTTCTACTTCACTAAGTGCTGTTTCTGGAAGAGGAAGTTTTAGAACAAATTACTCTCAAGATAAAAGCACAAATAGAAGCACACACAGAGACCATTCTCAGCATCAGCAGGACAATAGGACTTATCCCTTTCCTGATATTAACAAAGCAAATCTATTTTGCAATTACTGTAAGAAGACAGGACACATAGAAGAGAAATGCTACAGGTTGCATGGTTTTCCCAAAAACTTCAAATTCACTAAGGGAAGGAATTCTGGATCAGCAGCAATTGCTCACAACAATAGTGAAACACCACTGGAACATGCTCATGGAACTCAAAATTTAACCAAGGACCAATATGATCATCTGGTGAGATTGCTTGAAAATGTCCAGGTGCAAGGATCATCTCACAGCAGCAAAGACACTTTGGATAACATCATGGGTGGAGCTGCAAACTTTGCAGGTATCTTGGCATGTCATTCTTCCATCACTGATATTGGTAATCTTTCATGTAATTGTTTAAAACTAACTGCTGAATCTTGGATCATTGATTCTGGAGCCTCAAACCACATGACTTTCAATAAAAATTTACTTACCAACATCAGACCATTGCCTTACCCTTTCCTAATAACACTACCAAATGGCTATAGAGTTAAAGTGACAGAGATTGGGAATGCATGTTTAAACTCAATAGTGACTTTATACAATGTGTTGTTTATTCCTACTTTCAAATTTAACTTGATCTCAGTACATTGTTTGACCTCTGACCTTAGAAGTGCAATTATCTTCAATGATAAATCATGTTCTTTGCAGGGCCCTTCACTGAAGAGCCCTCTGGTGATTGGTAGATCAAGGAGTGGCCTTTACTTCTTCTGCTCAAGGTGTCCCAATTCTGTCTACTCTTTTTCACCATTATCTCATTGTTCTTCTTCACATGCTCAAAATGAACAAGGTTTACATCATGGTTCCTCATCTGTCATTCCAAGAAATAAAACAGCCTGTTGTAACATGAATTCATATGTTACTCCTATTAATTGCCCTGGTTCCACTAAATCTCCTTCATTATGTACATCTCATGAAAATACTGTAGACTACTTGTGGCACACTAGATTAGGACATGTTCCTTTTGTTAAGATGAAGGGTATCCACACTATACCTGTTAAATTCTCATCCAAACAACCTTTTACATGTACTATCTGCCCCATGGCAAGACAAGCAAGAATGCCTTTCCCATCAGAATCAACACCTTCTTCTACAAAAATATTTGAACTTCTCCACATAGACTTATGGGGACCTTACCATACACCAACATATGACAATTACAAATATTTCATCACAATAGTTGATGATTATAGCAGGACAACATGGACTCAACTTATCAGTTGTAAAAGTAACACCCTCCAAGCCATAAAAGCCTTCACATCCTTGGTAGAAAATCAGTTCAATATCACCATAAAAACAATAAGGACTGATAATGGTATGGAATTTGTCAATAAAGAAACAACTGACTTTCTGCAAAACAAAGGCATCATACATCAAAGAACCTGTCCATACACACCACAGCAAAATGGTGTTGTAGAAAGAAAACATAAATACCTACTTGAGATTGCTAGAAGCTTATTGTATCAGTCCAAACTTCCCATGAATTATTGGGGAGAGTGCATTTTGGTTGCAACTTATCTGGTGAACAGATTACCATCCAAAGCTATTGAAAACAAAACTCCTTTTGAGGTACTATACCAAAAAGCACCTACATATTCACATCTAAGATCTTTTGGCTGTCTTTGTTATCCTACTACTCTTAAAACTCACAAAGATAAGTTCGAACCTAGATCAGTTCCTCACATTTTCATTGGATATCCATTCAACACAAAGGGTTACAAGGTCTTAAATGTGAGCACCAAGAAAGTACATATTTCTAGAGATGTCTTGTTTCATGAAAGTATCTTTCCTTTTGCTCTTTCTTTTCCTGATTCAAGTTTTAATTCTGTATTGAAGTGTCTTGATGCTAACTCTGAATTGTGGAAGTGTACAAACAATCCTTTGCATAATGTTCATGATTTGAATGAAAACACCCTAATTACTGTCACTGATAACTCTGTTAAAGCCAACTTACCACACACTGAGACTTCATTTGATAATACTACTACTACTCCATCAACTAATCCAGAAATATCTCCACATATCACCATTTCTAATACCTCAGTCTCCAGTTCACAACAACCTATTACTACCACTTCCAATTCACAAAGATCAACCAATACACCTAGGAGAACCAGTAGGACACATTCTGTACCAAAATACCTAAATGAATACACATATAATCTTCCCAACTTACAACCTCAATCATCAATTTACCATCCTTCAAATGGCATCAACAACACCAATGATCAACAATTCTCTCTTACCAGTTTTAATACTGAAAGTCAGCAATTAGTTAAAAACATATTTCATGATAGTGAACCAAGTACATATGGAGAGGCTGCCATGATTCCTGCTTGGCAATCAGCAATGACACTTGAATTTGAAGCTTTGCATGCTAACAATACCTGGAGTTTAGTTCATTTACCTGCAGGGAAGAAACCAATTGGATGCAAATGGGTCTACAAGATCAAACACAAGGCTGATGGAACTGTGGAAAGATTCAAAGCTAGGCTTGTAGTCAAGGGATACACTCAACAAGCTGGTATTGATTATAATGAGACATTCTCTCCAATAGTAAAGATGACCACTGTGCGACTATTAATCAGTCTAGCTGTTAAGAAAGGTTGGGATCTATATCAGCTGGATGTGAATAATGCATTTCTGCATGGAGATTTGAATGAGGAAGTCTATATGGAACTTCCACAGGGGCTGCAGGTGAATAGAACAGGACTTGTCTGTAAACTTAACAAGTCTTTGTATGGGTTGAAACAAGCTAGTAGGCAATGGTATGAAAAACTAGCAAAGATATTGTATTCAAGGGGATATTCACATTCTACCAGTGATTACTCATTGTTCTACAAGAAAGATAAATCAACTAAGGTGTTTGTAGCAGTGTATGTTGATGATATAATATTGACAGGAACTGATCTAGATGAGATTACATCTTTAAAGTCATTTTTACATGACCAGTTCAAAATTAAGGATCTAGGAAAACTTCACTATTTTCTGGGGTTGGAGATCCTCTACAGACAAGATGGAGTACTCATCACACAGAAGAAGTTCACCACAGACCTACTCAAAGAGTTTGATTGCTCACATTATAGTCCATCTACTTCTCCTCTCGATAGTGTGATCAAGTTGAAGTCTCATGAAGGAACTCTGTTAACTGATCCAACATACTACAGGAAGTTAGTGGGAAAGTTGAATTTTCTCACAAATACCAGATTGGACATTGCATTCAGTGTACAACACCTCAGTCAGTTCTTACAAACACCTAGAGAGCCTCACTTAAAGGCTGCTTTCCATGTATTGAGGTATCTGAAGAATAGCTATACTCTGGGAATCTATCTATCCAAAGATCCTAACTACACCATCACTGCATATTGCGATTCAGATTGGGCTGCATGCCCTGATTCCAG